TAATATAACAGTTAAATACAGAGGCCTTCGGTAATGCATAATCTAAGAATCTAAAACAATTATTGCATTTAGAGCATTTTATAGTACCGGTAATATTTATAGAGTTTTATTCTCGAAAATTTTTATACAATACTTTTTTTATGTGATTTTTAGAGATCTGCCATTAAAATATTCGAGCAGCGAAACATTATTTCGATTTTAATAAATGAATCGGTGATATTAGAAATATTGAAATGAAATGGGAACTTTGACAAATTATTAATAAGTCATTGAGATAGAAATAAAAATATCGTTTTGAATACTTTGCAAGTGCTGTTTCGATGATTTTTTTAAAAAAATAATCTAATTACAAATTGCTAAATGCCTTACTGATAAAAGTACAAGATAACCTAAGTGCAATTTTTAAAATGCTAATAACTAAGCTTATAAGTAAAATAATTTTATATTTGTATATTTATAAATTTTATTACACTATATATATCATTAATTTATTAAATGCTAACTTATTACGATTATAGATATAGAAAATTGAAAATAATAAAAAGAAATTTGACTTATTATTATAGATGTTTTATTTCTTTATAGAAGCTGCAACACTATTTGTTAATATAATATATAGACATTTCTCTTTAATTGTTTGATAGTTAATTGATTATTACATAATAATATGAAAGTTTCAAAATATAATCAATTATGTACTTTCCTGTTTTACTTTTTCCTACCACCTCTCTCCTTTGGTAGAAGATTAATTATATTACCAGATGTTAAATTATAATACGCAAGAGTATTGCTATCTTTAAAGAACATTCCCTGGAAAAACAAAATGAACAATCATTATATAAGAAAATCAAAACATTAAGAATTATTGAGTTTAATTATTTCATATAATACCTCGTATTGTAACTTCTGTTTGCCAGGAGGCATGCCAGTTTGTTCATGAATAAGAGCTTTCATCGTCGCCACAGTATCACTTACTTGCAAAGTAATATTCAACGTTTGTCCATTTAATTTCCATTCTGCTTTTTCTGTCATCATTGGTACAGCAATATTCAGCTGTACGGGACCCTGAAATAATAAAGTGTGTACTTTAGTACATATCCGTATATAATAATTTCTTAATAAATATAGATCTTAATAATACCTTATTCCTAGCTAAGAACTGCTGTTCCGGTATCAACGAATCTTCTGTTCGAAGTTTCTTAGTTTGAGGTTCTTCCTCCATAGGTTCAGCAGTATGTTTCAATCCAATCTGCAAAAAAAAAAAAAAAAAGAAAAGAATTAATGAAACAAAGACAAAAACACTTTTGCTTGGAAGATACTTGACTTGGCGAATACTTACAGCAGAAGTCATCGGTGGCTGCATAGGTGGTGGTGTCGGCATAAACGGTGACATTGCTGGTGCTAGAAATTCGTAATATTAACCATATTCGGAATTCGAAACGCATAAATAAATTTTAATTTGATATAAAAAGTACTCACTCATTAGCGGTGGTGGTCGAATCGGAGGCATGGGAGCCATCATCATCATCGGTGCTTGTGGCATCATGGGTTGAGGAATACCCATAGTGGGCATGCTCATGGTAGGAGGTGGTGGTGGCTGCGTTGGTACAGGTACTGGTTTCGGAGCTGGTGGTTTAGGTGGTGCTTTTAACGTAGCTTGAGGCTTCGAAGCAGCCGCTGCCATGTGCGATAGTTCAGCCGCGCGATTAGCAGGTTTTGGACCAATCTTTTCCTTCTCTTCATCGGGAAGAAGTCCTTTAACTTTATGTATCTGATGAATTTGTTCTTCCAGAGTGATATTTGCTCTAGCAGCCCTAGTTGCTGCTTCGACGCTTGACGTGTGACCATCCCACGTGACCTTGTCGTCCTTCTTTTTATCTTCTTCTCCAATTTTTTTACCGATGGCAGTTTCTTCGTCACCAACACCGAAAATATCGGTACGTCTTTCGGCAAGTTGTTTCAAGCTTGCTTCAATCGCCGTGCCAGGTGCAAATACTGTCTCCTGAGCCAACTTATCGAGATGTTTGTCTCTTTGTTCCACCCAACGTGGATCCAATAATCCAATTCGCATGTGTTCTTGAACTTTACTTGCGGGTATACGTTCTCCAGTGATTGGAGATATCAAATACTCATCAGGAGCAACAGGACGTGCAGTTTTGCTAGCTGAAAAAGAATATTTATTATAATTTTATTTATAATTCATGTTACATTTTTCTTCTCTTTTCTTACCGTGTTGTTTAGGATCGTATCCTTTCTTTACTACGACATTTCCAGGAGTGGGTGGCAAAGGTGGAGGTTGCATGTTATTACTATCACGTTTCGATTCTTTCGATTTATGACTATCGCCCGGAGGTGATACATCATCTTCATCACTCGAATCCTCTTCCATGTCTTGTACCTTAAGATACAAATATGTTATTAATGTGAAAATGTGTTGCTTCTTTTCATTTAAATACACACGTGTAAAATATTTACTTGATTGTTATCTTTTGCACGATCTTTTTCACCTTCTGCACGACTTTGCATCTCATCCTCTCCTTCACTATCGATCTGCATTTCTACATCTTCGCCTTCTTCTATTCTTTCCTAAAAATTTAAAAAGTTATAAAAAAAAATGCGGATTGCAAATTTATTAAGGTACTTTCACTGTAACATGGACTTTATAGAGTTTTGTTACCTGCATGAGTACACGAGCACCGACTTCATCCGGCGTTGTCGGCGCCGGGAAATTACCAACTTCAAACTGTTGGTAATCAACAGTTTCGACTACAACAAAGTCATGCCAATCAATTTGTGCATAAGCAACCCTTTCACGTTCCAATTCCTCTTCCTCTTTGCGTCTCTGAGCTTCTTGATACTTTAGCCATTCAGCACGATATTTAACTTGCTCTAAAATTTTATCCATATTAGAGGCTTCATCGCGCAGCCGTGGCAACAAATCTTTAGGTGGAATTAATACCTGTAAATTTATATTAATGTAAACGAAAAATTTAGGTAAAAGGTCTAGTTTAAAAAAAAAATTTGTACTACCTTAGTATACTGTTCCAAAAGTTTTGTAAAATATTGAAATAAAGAATGTTGTGGACGTAAAAAATCAAATTGAAAGTTTCTTTGTTCTCTGTTCATTAGGTTGGTCAAAAATTGACGACCATTACGAGCTACAAATTGTGCTGTTAATTTTACAATATCCCTAAAATTTAAAAAATTACATGTATCTTATGATACATATTATCCTACAATTATATGAAAAATGAATTTAATAAAGAGACGTACAAGTCTAAAGCTGAAATAGAAGGTGGGTCAGCAATAAATTCAAATTCTGCCGGCGTATCTCTTGGAATAAATGGTTGTTCGACTTGTTTCAAAATTTCTTGCTGTTTTTGATGAGCAGCGAGAGTAACTGTTTTCCCAGGTCCTGATCCTATAGTAGGTTCTTGACCTTTACCTTCCTTAAATTCTTTTACTTTATGTTGATAATATGCATGGTATGGATCGCCAAAATTCAAGAAATTAAATTTTGGATTTCCCAGTTCATTTTGTCTAATTCTTGATTCAAATTCTGGTCCATTTCTAGCCACAAAACTTGCAGTTTTGTCAACAATATCTATATTTTTATATAAGGTAAATTACATAAATTTTAATGAATAAACAAACAATAATTTTTACAAAATGCAAAAATTTTCAATTTTATTGAGTAATAAAAATATTAAAAGAATTATAACAATTGAAAAATAATTACACAGTAACATAGATAAAATAAACTCTTAAATTTTATTTCTTTCTTAGAATAAAAATATATATA